GTGTTGTTGCTATTGTCATTATTAACATGAGGATTCTTACAGTGTCAGCCTGAGGTGTTTATTTTTGTGCGAATTGTGTGGTGTTTTATTAAATTGTTCTAAAGGGCTTTTTAGCTTTCAGTTTTTTGTTTGTTTTGTTTTCTTAAAATACATTTATTTATATTTCGGTTAGCATGGCCATGTGTGATCTTGTGCATGATTGAATAGTTGCTCAACGAAGGGAGTCGTTAACGTTGCTATTGCAGTCTCTCGGGAAAATTTGCATTGTACGGTTCGAAAATTGAAAATATCGCAAAGAAAAAAAATAAGAAGAAAGTGTACAGAACAAAAAGCAAATATAAATATGCGTTTTATATTGACCATACGCAAAATGTTAGCAAAAAAATCTAAAATTATCAAATAAAAGTGCAAAACAATCATATTTATGAATTTAAAAAATAAAAAAAGTTTATTTTAATTGAAATTTGTTGAAAGTATATGCTATGAAAAGAGATCATGTATAAAATACAAAATATAACATCATATGATCAATCTATTGTGAAAAAGTGAAGCTATAATCAATTTGAATTATCATCGCTACAACTCGACATAAATTTTTTTGGTAACAGGGATTTTGTTAATTGTTAAATTACTTAAAATAGCCGCACTGACAAATAGTTTATGCAATAAAAAGGTATTCAACGAGTTTTGAAAATGAACATTTGCAAGAATTAATAAAAACAATATATGGTACTTCTTTGGAAATTTACTAATTCAGTAAAAATATTATTGGACTAGGTAAACAACAACACTCTACTCAAAGACTTTAGTCCATTGTTTTTATCCTATATACTTGAGAATAGCTATGTCATACGTTATTTTTTTAGACAATTGAGAGATTTGGCAAAGAAGTTTAGATAATCAATGTCAGTTTTTTTTTTCATTTCATCCTGGTCTTTACCATCCCATTTAGAAGTTTTATATAACGATTTACACATTGATTAGCATCTCTAGTTTGCAAATGGATTCCATTGTCATCTAGTTTTTTTTGTATAGTAGATTTTGAACATTCTAATGTAGCTGGTTAGCGAGTTTAACAAAACTTATTCATTACCTCTTTCATTCCCTTTGATATTTCAACGTTCAAAAACCGACCTTAGCATGCGGAAAGTATAATCACCACCACGTTCCTGTGAACATGAACGTCATTGAATTCATAATGAATTATTATTATTAATTATTAAAAAGGAACTAAATTATCCAATGGTTGACAAATTAAAGGATTAAATGTGGAGTGTTCGAAAGCATGATTCTGATTATCCCAGATATGTATATGTACATAGTTGCTCTACTTCCAAGAACTTGTCAATAAATGAGACATGCACTGGTGGCCAAAAATAAAGTAACTGAAATTGCAAAATGAATAAAAAACATGTAATCTTTTTGAAAATAAAGTTATAGTGAACGTGTGAAAGTGTTAAATATACAGATATGACCAAACCTTCGTTTATGTAAACAAATATTTTTTATTCAAAACAAAAATAAAAATATTTTTCAAAACCAAGGAGTTTGGTCAAAATTTAGAATTTTACAGAAACAGGCTGATAAACTCAAAATTCATTTCGAAATAAAAAAATATTCTAAGGAAAACTAAATTGACCCTATTTTTGATTGGTAAAATCTAAAGCAACTTTTTGATTTTTTTTCTTATAAATAAGCAAATTTTGCTAGTAATCGACAGCATAGCCATTTTTTTATTAAGACAAAACACCTACGAATCAATAAAATGATAAATTTTATCCTTTTGTATACTATTCCTAGCATCCTGAACCTGTGGGAAGAGACTATGTTTGTTTGTTTGTGGAACTCTTTTGATTTTGCTATCAATGATACTTCAAAGAATTTTCTACAGGGTAAATATCTGATAATTGTGTTAGCCATTATAAAACCTTGGATTTTGACTCCCGCAACAAATCTTTGATATGTTTCTGTTTTTATTTGAGGTTATTGTAAAGTTTAAACCCCAAATAAGTGGTACACTTTCTTCAGTGGAGGGAACCAACGCGTTTTTCAACACATTTGTGCAATCAATCCGATTCATTACTTCGTTAATCTCGTAAATAGATCGAAAGAAAAATGGCCCACTACCCATTATTGACCCCACCTTCATGCTTACCAGTACCCTTGCAATACTGATGCTTGAGCCTTTCATGGTTTTGACGTTCTCACGATGTCTGTGCCTTAAATTTTAAACTTAGTCATCCTAGCACATAATATTTATCCACTGAGTCGGTTTCCAATGGAAATTAGCTTTTGCGAAAGACAATCTGTCTTTCCGACTTTTCTGAAATTAAATGGCTTTCTTGATGGTATTCGGACATGTAGCCCTGCTACCATAGCTTGTCCACGCTCTGTTCTTGAGGTTATATCCAACGTAACCGTCTCTCAAATTCCGTTGAACTCTTAAATGAGTATTATTACTGCTATGACAATTTGTTGAGCAGTACGAACTGATGTTCTTTTGCAACCTTCCTCCGTGCTGAACTGTCACTACTGATCTAGTTGCATAAAATCAACTTATAATTCGCGAAATCACTAATTTATTTATCCAATATGTAATATCCCCAAAATCATTTTCTGTGATAAATTATTTTCACAATCACAGGTAATTATTTGTTTTATCGAGGTATTGTATTTGTTTCTAGCCTTTTTTTATGTATATTTTTGGCGGTAAGTCAAATTGAAAACCTATAAGAATCGAAATATGTACAGAAAGCAAAACATTGTAATTATAACGGTAAAAATGACTAAAATTTTAGAGCTCCTCTACTTGTACTGTATAGTTGCTTTAGTTTTGTCCAAGCAAAAATTGAGACAATTCCCTTATAAATAAATTATTATTTACTAGCATATGCCCGCAACTTCGTTAGCGAATGTAGGAAATACTTAAACATGTATTGACATATTATTTTAATATCGACCATAAATTAAATTTGAGTACCATTTAGTGACCAAATTTCATGATTCCAACTCTAAAAGTTCATCCAAATCCAAATTTGACCAAATTTAGTTCCATTTAGCACACATTATTTCCACAAGTACCCTCCTCAACCATCCAATAAAACTTCCTGCATACCCAAATCCTACACCCCCATAGTGATTCCAAATTCAAATTTCAGGATTCCAACTCAATCGGTTCACTCACAATTCAAATTGTACCAAATTTAGTACACAGTAGTACACATTTCTAAAACTTCCTACATTGTATTGTTCCCGCTCTATAGGATCACCCAAAATCCAAACTGTACCGATTATAGTACGATTTAGTACTTTTCGTACACATAAGTAACAAATTTCCAAAACTACGTTCATATCCCCATCCTACACTCCGACGGTAATTTTAATTTCAAATTCCAGGATTTCAGCTCGATTTGTATCTCCGAAATAAATTTGTACCAAATATAGTACCACATAGTACTTTGCGTACACATGAGTACACGCTTTCAAAACCATCTCCTTAAATGGGCCCTACTTCTCAACTTTAATTCACACTCCAAATTTTAAGTTTTTAACTATATCCCTTCACATGCTACAAAATTGTACCAAATTTAGTATATAGTTCGGATATTTATAGTTCGAATTTCTAAAAATCCTTTGGTACATCTATCCTACACTCCATCAACGACCACCAAACCAAATTTCAGAGTTCTAGCTCCACCGGTTCGCCAAATACAAATGGTATCACATTTAGTACTTTTCGTACCGTTCTAGTACAAATTTCCAAAAACCCAGCCTTATCTGTCACATGTGGACCAAGAGTGACCCTCACCCAAAATTTCAAGATTCTATCTTCAGCGGTTTCGTCTGGGTGTTAATGAATGGTTAAATCAGTCAGTCATTCAATCACTTTACTCTTTTATTAGTATAGATTCCATAATGAATTTTGCATTAATGCCTTTTTAAAAACGTTAATAAAGTACCCGATTTAAAACAGAAAAAAAAAACAACACGATATCTTATGTTATGCGGCATTTATTAACCTTGCAATATTAGTTGCTTTAGTTTTGGCCACCAGTGTACATAGGCGGAAATACTATTCAATGTTTGTTGCATGAATATATACTTCAAACGGTGGGCGATGATTATAGAGACGTAGTTGACTTTCCAGAAATGTTTCAATGCTACTTTTGTTCTCAATTACAAGAATTACAGTTATTATCTACCCTACCTACATGAAAATTAATGTCTCCGAAGCAGGGTTAAACTATTTCCCATTTTCATAATCCATAATACTACTTATAAATTTTGAATCATAAGGTATTGTTGTCCGCAAAATAGCAAGGCTTCAATATAGCCTTATTGATTTCACCATTTTACTTATTTAGTAGTTTCGAATTACTTGATGCAGTCTTCCATTTGCATATAGCCTAAATCAGTGTATTTATGATTTTTCGTTAACGTTTTTTGATGATGTTGGAAAAATATCCGATAAAAAATAAAACTAGTTACTAATTTTTAGATAACATTATACTTGGAAGAAATGTATTCTGGGTCTTAGTTCCCGCATATTAAATACCACGAATCCTAATAATACAACCCTTTGGCATTCTGTTATTATCATTATTTATTGTTTCACTTATTTCATTTCAGAGCGTTTGCTGCCTCTTTAATTAAAAAAAAAAAAATCCTGATTTATTGAAACTAACAAATAATGAGATATTTACATAAATATATGATGAAATTGGAAATAATAATAATTATAACATTTGTCCCAATCCTCCCTTCATAATTACACTTAATCAAGCCATTTCTTGCAACTAGACATGAGCAACACGATCTGCATTCAAACACAATTATTCGACTTCTTCTTCGCAATGCAAATATATTTGGCGGGATTTGAACAGCCAACACCAAGAGGAAAGACCTTTCATAAATTAAAATAGTCAACAAACAAACAAAAAACTATTTCAACGTTGACATCTTCGCTGCCACACACACATACTCACACACACAGATACAACCATTATTGTTAGCCAATATTCAAATGTTCAGCTGTTGAGTGTCTCATTATTTGAAAAGAATAAACATTCGCGGTCACCGCTGCAACACGTCCCTTGACGCCGCTGCTGCCTCCCTGCGGCAAGGAGCACTTGCCATTCACAGTCGCATACATATCAAAGACACTTAACATTAATTCGCACAACATAAAATATCGTAAGACTGCCAATTGCAATTTGTTTGCTGCTGTATGTTCTCACAGATATTTCACCAAATGACGAATAAGTCCCAAAAATACCTACGGCAGACGTTACAACAAAGTACCAAACAATCCGAATCTATTCTAGCAATTTACTGCTGCAACAGCGACGCCCAGCCAAGTATATCGTCCGGACTAATTAAATCGTCATTGCGTTGGCCAATTCAATTGTTGTGCCGCATAAATCATTATTGTTGTTATCATCATCGTGATTGCCTTCGTCGTCAATGTCAGACTTTCGGACATCTGCTGAGGAAACACATTATTACTCAGTATCATCGTTGCTGTAACGACAGTGATTTTGATAATTTGAATTTTCGCACATTGTTATCACTGCCAACACGGTTGGCCATTGTCGTCGCTATCGTTGCTAACAGCTGACCACAATGAATAAACGTACCGTTATAATAATTGTTGCTCTCGTGACCATTCTATGTTTGGCCGTTGGGGGCAATCTTTACTTTATGTACTACCTAAATGCTCAGGATCCAGCACTGTCAAGTACCCGAGCACTTGAGAATGTTATTCGCCATAAAATCAGGCACTTGAAACCGGCCTATCTGAATCGAAATCCTCGTTTCTTTATGTATCGGAATAAATTGTTGAAGAACTATAGACCGGCAAGTTATGAAAATGCTTCAGTGCTGTGGGACATAGCCAATTGGGTAAGTAAATAAGACAGGGGGATAATAAAAAATAAATGTAAGATTTATACATTGCGGTCTGTGAGTTTGATCGGGAGGACATCCTGCCACTGAATGATTATGAAAATTAAATAGATTACGATCCGACCAAATTTCTGAAATATATTTATATTTATAAATATTCAGGAGTAATCCCAGTTTGTTATATGATAAAAAAAATAGCAAACCTACTTTTTTAAAAACATAAAATATATATTAAATACGCCGCCTAACAAAGGCCATATGCGGACGACATAAATCAGAGTAATATATTTAGTTAGCAATGTTTTAAGCTTTCAAATTGTATGCATATACATTTAATCGTTTGATTAATATCGGATTTCTTATCCTAAAGTTTGTGATCCGGATTTGCATCGTACGAATATATTTGGTTTACGATTTTTTTACGGTTCAAGGAAATAAATAAAAGTATCAAGGACTAGAGATAGCATGAGGATATGTTTTACAAAAATATTCCCCATTCTATTTAACTGAAGGCATGTGACCTCAAAAACAAGCGTTAAAAGCCGTATTAAAGGTTTTACATAAAAATTAGAGTTATCAACAAAAAATTCATTTCGCCCTAACTCAAAAACTTAATCTAGTGTAAATTTTTTATTTATCAACTGTGTTTTGGTATTTTCCCCAAATTATAGAAATCTTCTCTTTAATTCCGGCGTTACAAATATGAAAAAAATCATTCTGTGATCCTAAATGAAATCTAAGGATGAGAAACACTTTGCCAGCTACGGCTAATCTAACTGAAATAACCAGATATCACATACAACAAACAGTAGATTATTTTTAATGTGTTCCGGAACAAACACATTAAAAAATATTTATCACCCAAATAATATTCCATTAAATTTCTTTATAGTGGCCGCATGAAAATGAAATATACCCTTTATACGATTCGTCGATGGGCCAACTCTTGCAAACATTACGAAATGAGCCTATAACCAAGGTAAGTTGATACCACATAGTGTTAAAAAAATGGTAATCATTAGACTGGCATTTTTTTTTTTTTTTTTGTGATGAATGTAATAAATCTGGGCGGTACATTTGCCAAATATGTATTTTTCTATATATGTGTTGGCATTAATATATTTCATTCTAATAATACATTTCCCACTTATATGTTACCTTTTATTAATCGGCATATATGATTTCTTTATCCACAGGTCAACAACTTATCACGCGGTACACAACTGAAGCTATTGATGCGTTTATCTAATCAACAAAAAGTGATTTTCAAGCCACAGTGGTATCCACGTGACATTGTGATTGATGGCCCAGTATATGGCGGCAAGGACCGTCACACTGCTGAAGTTTATGCCTTCTATTTGGGCGCCGTTTTAGACTTTCGCTGGACACCGATTGTTGTGGGCAGGGTGGTCAACCTGAAAACAGATATTTACGATAAAGGCGACTCAGAACTTCAAAATACCATGACAATAACACCGGGAGAAAATGAGACCGAACAGTATTGTCTCTTTGGCAAATGTCATTATTGCAACGAAGAGGAAACTGTATGCGGTGATGAGAATAACAACATTGAGGGCGTACTAATCTACATAATACCGGGACAATTGGCAAAGAGACGCTCTCCATGGCAAAGGACATACAAAGAAGATAAACGAGCACCCTGGGAAGATGATATGAATTATTGCAAGTAAGTGTGACAAAATTCAACATTTATAGCATTTGCGTTCGTGCACGGAATGTATTATATTTTTCCTTTCTGCTTATATATATTTACTTTAATAATTCATTTGCGATATAATTTATTCACTTATTTTAATATTTATTTGACAAAGGCTTAGTTTAAAAATAGTCCCAATTTAGAATATCAGTTTTATCAATATAAGGTTTAAGCATAACTAATTATTGCATGTAATCACTTTTCCATAGATCTCTGAAAGGGAAAATGGAAAATATTCGACTACTGGACCTTATTGACGTCGCCATTTTCGATTATTTAATACAAAATGGTGATCGACATCATTACGAAACGCGTGAGGAGCGAGTGGTGCTTATAGACAATGGCAAAGCATTTGGAAATCCCAATAAAGATCATTTAGATATATTGGCACCACTATATCAATGTTGTTTGTAAGTGAAACCACGCCCCAGCACTTTCATGGAATACCAATAATTCATTTCTGTTTTGTTTTACAGATTACGAGCCTCTACATGGGAACGTTTACAGGTATTTTCTGGTGGTGTTCTAACCGAACTTATTGATCGTCTATCGAAAAACGATGCCCTATATCCCCTCATAACGGACAAACACAAACGGGGCGTAGAACGACGACTACTGGTTATCTTTGCAGTTGTCGAATACTGCATGGATCGTGAAGGCGAGAAAATGTTTAAAAACTTATAAAACCAAATAAAAAAGGAAATTCGATTTCATATGTGACTGGTAACAAGGATCCATATTAAACATATCATAACTTAAAATGTTTCAAAAGCCTAATTAAGATAAAAAGACAATTTTATGTATATCTTTGTAAAAACTAATCGATCGATTGATTTATTTAATTATAATGTAAAAAACGATAGATTTTAGCTAGGACGTATTGTAATTTAATCCGTTGTTTTTCTATATAGCAATAACTAATGTGTTTTGTTTCAAATAGAGCATAATCGTTCCCTGGATTTTTTTCCTGAATATTAAAAATTTCATTTTGTAACTTTCTATTCCAGGAGTCTTAATTGCAAAGGCTATAAAATCATGTCTGTGTTCAATAAATTCCCAGTTACATTTCTTCTATTTTTTGTCCATAGTTTTTATCTTAAAATCCAATTCCTCCAACTCCTGTTCTAAGAAATCATAAACAAAACACATAATACAATATTTTTATAATATTTCAGTATTTATTTTTCTATTAAAACACAAACAGACAAGTCTAAAATATACATACATACTCAATTAAAATAATATGTAGAATAGAAAAATAGTTTATTTTTATTCAGTTCATTTTCGTATTTCTAACGAATCTATGTAGCTAGGTTAGGTAGTAAAAATGATATTAAACTATTTTTTACTTTTTACATTTGAAAATGTAAATAGTTTATTGAATTTCTTATTTTGCGTCTTGTTTGAATTGCTCTGAAAAAGAAAGAGAAAAAAAATAAAATAAATTATCAAGAAAAATAAAATAAATTATTATTTTGAATAAGATGGTATGTGTTTTTATCACTTTTTTAATTGGAATAAAGAAAGTATTTGATTTATATAATGCACTTACCTTGGCATGAAATTGTGCTTTAATTTCCATTCCTTTCGCTTTTTGTGCACCACCTTGGAATTTCTTGAAATCAACATTTTTATAATCGAAATTAGTTTGTACCGGTTTATCTGAGGACTGGTGTGGTTTATTTGATGCCATGAACTTCTGTTTTTTGTTTTTATTTTTTTGGAATTTCTGTTTATGTGTTGATGGTTTCTGTTCGTCACAATTCTGTGAAGGATCAGTTGAAACATTTGGTTTCTCCTCTGGCGGACCATCGTCATCATCGTTATCATTTCTTTCCAGTTCGGATACAGTTGTCTCGGCTTGTCGCTTGAATTCCTTTTGTTGTTTCAATTCCTTCTTGGTTGGGGGTAAATTAACAAATTTCAGTTTATCATCAGTTGGTGTAGTTTGTTCAATTGTTGATGTGCTTTCCAACTTGGTACGTTTCGAACTGGAAGCACCATCGTTAGCGGCTGCAGCAGCTGCTTTCTTTGCAACAGCTTCCTCATATTTTCTCTTCAACATAGCCTTAATGGGCATGCTGTATATATCTTCTTCCTCGGCATCTTTTTTGACATCATTTACATTGATAGGCATCATAGCCGGAGCATCTGGACATAATTGTCTCTTTTTGTTCTCGGCTTCGAGGCGAGCAGCTTCTTCGCGTTTTTCCTTTTCAATCATTGGCAGGACCGTCATATATCTCTTATATGGTAAGAGAATTTTTCGTTTTTCTGCCAGACGATGACGCATAATTTCTTCGTCCTAAAAAAAGAAAATTGATAATTTAAAAATTAAGATAATCAGAATCCTAAAAAATTTGAACTTAGTAGCTAATATTATTTTTATTCATACAGTTTTATATGAAGTGACGTGGAAGACCACAAACATGCAAATAGAACGCATTTGTCCAAACAACGAATTGTGCGGAGGGCTGCGTCATTTTTATATATTTGAGGCAATCAGATTCAGAACTCTGACCATTGAATCTTACAGTAAGGATTTCAGCGAATAAGGCTCAAAGACTACATGTCTCAGAAACTACTCATTGTAAGACATTCTAAAGCTAAATAGTCGTATATTCTGGGTAATAGAAATATGAAATGTGGCCTCTCTCACCCTACTTCAGTACATTTATATACTAATTTTAAACATAGATAAAGGATGGACTGTCTGACAATCCACAAACCGTTTCAAATAGCCCACTGTCATATATAAGTAATCCATTAACTTACCTCTTCGGAATTCTCTGGCGTATCGAAAACACTCAAAACCGCCTTCTTCATCGGATTCGAGGCAATCGACGATTCATCATTAATTTGAACACCCTTTTCTTTATCAAATGTTAGCAAGGTGGGTAAATCGTCACGGAATTCCTCTGCCATTGTTAAATCATGTGGACAGTGTAATTTGCTGTTGTAATCACAGACATTTGCATAGACAACACGACTGGGTGCTTCTGCTTGCAATATCGGCTTTACAAGGGGTTGTTCACGTGCCTTTAATATGATTTGATGCAAAGTATGCAAATTCTGACGCACCAATGGCGGAATGGGATTACAACAAGCCAATATACCTTGCATTTCACGCGGTAAACTTTCCGAAATCTGCAGCATCATATGATTCGGCAGTACGTAACCGTAACTTTCATCTTCTTGACGGGCCATAGTATCACGCCATTTGAAAATCTCACTCAAGGCAAACAGTTGTCGGTTATCAAAAATTCTTTTTGATTTACGATAAATGTCCATATATGAGTCTGCCGTAATAATGGGCTTCTGGAAACGCTTCTTGCAAATCTCCGTGGACCTTTGATAAATGGATCGCAACAATTGTGGTTTTTGATTTCCAGCTTCTAGCAAATCATTTGTAATACGTTCGTATACATAAATGAGGAAATGGGTATCTTGCCGGGCATATGCAATTAGTTCCTCGGGTAGTGGGCGAATACGCCAATCGGCCAATTGGAAAGTTTTATCAACTTCTTTATCGCAGTAATGTTTCAACAAATATGCCAGAGAGAGGCGTGCGAAGTTCAATGCCTTTGCCGCCTGATGCGTGTCAAACATGTTCACAATATAAATGGACAGATCACGTTGTAACCATTCCACATCGAAATCTGCACCATGGAAGATTTTGACAATTTTTGGATCTGTAAAGACTTCGTTAAGAATCCACATTTCATCTCGTAACTCCAAGGCATCAAAAATGTAGTCCTTAGTCCTAGTTGAAATTTGTACCAGACAAGTAATTCCCAAAAATGTACGATACGAATGATGTTCAACATCCACAGCGATTTCAGACGCCTTGCGCAACTCCTCCAAGGCTTGAAAGAGTTTTGGTTTCGTGTCAATATACATTAATTCTGTTGTGTCTACGTCTTTTGGTTTTTCGGCTTCTCGTGGTTTCAGCAAGTTGGATGGCACTTCAAACTTCATCAACTCGAACTCGTAGGGATGTAAATAACTGACAACATTGCCGGCATCATCATACTCCGGCAGGATTGCAAGGGGCTTGAGAGAATTTGGTTTTTCTTTTAGCCTCGGCATAAACGGCTTATCTTGGCTATTGTCCACAGGAATTTGAAACTTTACTTGCGGCCTGGCAATATTCTTTGCGGTTATTAAACGGGCGGCAAAAGAGGGACTTGCTTCGTTATTTTTTAAATTCCAGCTACCGGCACCTTTGCCGGGTGTGGGCGTCGATGTAATTTGTGATTCCACTACAATTGTCTGCGGCGGCTTCTTAATGCCAGCAAGCTCGTCAAGATTTATTTGCAGTCGTTCAAACATGGCATCATTGCACTCCAATAACATTTCGAACTGCTCGTCCGGTTGACGTCGTTGAATATTTCCTCTGACATTTTCCCGTTTGAGCACGTGTGATATGAGACCCAATATACGATGTGATTGTTCGTCGATTACCCGTCCAAATGTTGGGTAGGCACAGTACAAATCCCTCGACGCACCTTGGGGAAATGAATTGGCACATTTTGTGGCAACCATAATTTCAGTTAGTCCTTTCTGTAGACAAATAGAAAAAAATAAATAAATAAAAATAAAATCATGTATATTGAGCAAATACGACAGCGGATAAAACTCACCTTCGTAAATTCTTCGATACTAGGAAAATCTCCAATGGGGGTTGATTTAGGTTTTTCTTTTGTTTGTCCATCGGATGACGATGCTCCATCTGCTGAATCCAAAGCCATATTCCAAATACAAATTAAATTTACTCCAGCTCCACACACACAAATAAATACACCAAAAGCGTGGTGGCACAAGGTTGTTCGCAACCTAGAATAAATGAAAAACGTTCCCCTAGCTAAGGAATGGGGCAGAAGACAAAATGGCCGATAAAGAAGAACTCAAAGTAGGTTAAAGAAATATTTACGAATGGTGTGGAATGGAGAGTGCATGAGAACCGCATTGTTGACACACTTGCGCTATCCACTGTAAAATGATTACGCGCCGGCTACGCACTGTAAACTGTCGGTGAGAAAATAAAAAATAGAACAGAAATAACGGTACATTTATTATAGATGTTTAAAGAATGTTTGCGATTTCAGATGCAGCCTATTAGTATATTTTTGTGAAATCTTTTATATACAATGCATATTTTTTGAAAATTCTGCTTAAATTCTTTAGATACGCGGATCTGTAACCTGCGAATAAATTTATTCATAATTTATTCATAATCTAAAATTTATACGAAAATTGTTCAATTTCAATTTCTGTTTATTGCTTGTAATATATAAAATTCATTTACAATTTAGTATTTATAAGACAAGAGCTTAGGGATATACAATTCCTGTTCTACTATATCATTATGTTGATTAAATAATATACTTGATAATACATCATTCGATGAAGGTAGGGGAAAAAGCAAAATAAAAACCCATTGAATATTTTTTTTTTTTATGAATTAAGAGTTAAGAGTTAAAATTTCTATGACACTAGATCATTAATATGTGAGTATTGAGATATTTGACATCTGTCTTTAAATAAATCCGTCAAGATATTGATTCTTTCCAGAACAGATTGGAATCCCGTGAGAGTGTGTAATCTGCAAGTGGAATATAACCAAGGAAGGTTATAAATCATTTTTAGTAGCTTGTTTTGTGTAACTTGAAGTTTTTTGATATGACATTTTGCAGACGAAGACCATACTGGAGCACAGTAAAACATTACTGGTTGAAAAATTGATTTGTAGATAATCATCTTATTTTCAACATTAAGTTCGGAGTTCCTATTTATCAACGGGTACATAATTCTGGTGATCTTGTTTAGTTTGTCCATTATGTAAGAAATGTGTGCTTTGAATGTTAATCTTTTATCGAGTATGATTCCTAAATATTTTACATTATTACTCCATTCGATGTTGTTGTTATTTAAGATAATTGGTCTGTGAGGTAAGAAACAATTTTTACGCTTCCTAGTAAAGAAAATGGCTTCAGTTTTTTCAGGATTTAGTAAAATCTTCCATTTATGAAAATAAGAGTGCAGCTTATTTAATGCCGATTCCAATGTGTTAATAATATTAATTGCATATATATCAGAGCACATAATTGATGTGTCGTCAGCAAAAATTGATGTTGTGCATCCTATAGGTATGTCGTATGTAAAAATGTTGTATAATATTGGCGAAAGACACGATCCTTGGGGACATCCAGCATTAATATTGATTTTTGATGAAGCTGAGGCGCCGATGTAAACTTTAAATGATCTATCCTTTAGGAAACTTTGTATAATTTTGATAAGATATAAAGGAAAGTTCAATTTCTTAAGTTTGAAAATTAATCCGTCATGCCAGACAGAATCAAAAGCTGCTTTTATATCCAATAGAACCATTCCGGTAGATTTACCTAAGTTAAAGTTTTCGAGGACCATGTTTTTAATTTTAAAAAGAGGGTGAGCGGTATTATGTTGCGTTCGGAATCCAAACTGTTGGGGTGGAAGAATTTTCTTTTGGTTGGTAAAATCAATAACTTTTTCTTTGATGACTGATTCCAATAATTTGCTTAACGATGACAACAAACTGATAGGTCTGTATGATGCAGGGCTATCGGGAGACTTATTTGGTTTAAGTAAAGGAATTGTTTTTGAACATTTCCATGCAGTTGGAAAGTATGACAATTTTAGGCATGAGTTTAAAATAGTAGTTAGGAATTGTTTCCCTTTTTTACTTAAATTTTTTAAACATGTGTTGTTTATTCCATCCATTCCTGGTGCTTTTCTGATCTTTAATTTTTTTAATAATCCGTCGGTTTTGGCAACATTAATCAGACAATGTTCATCAGTATCCGAGTTTGTGTGTTGTATTTGTGTCGACGATGAATTAACTTCACAAATAGTGGTTGGGTCGCTAAGATTGTTTGTTAAGCCGTGATTTGTTTTAAAATGATTTGCTATTATGTCACATTTATCCTTTTGAGTGTAGTAAGATGAGTTGTTGTGGTATAATGTTGGAATGTTTTTAGTTTTCCGACGTAAAACTTTTGATACTTTCCACAGTGGCTTAGAGGCGTAATCTAGTTCAGATAGCATTTGATTCCAAGATTTGCTTCTAAAGGACAATAATTCTTTGTTGATGATTTTATTCAAACGATTCATTTGATAACGGTCAGAGTCTTCTCTGAATCTTTTAAAATTCCGTTTGTACACATTTCTGTGCTGTATTAGGATAATTATATGATGTGGAATGGACTTATTCGGATAAGATTGTACGCGTTTAGGAACGCTAAAGTCTATACCACCTTTAATGACTCTCGTTAACTCTTGAATCATAAAATCGATTTGGTTTGAGTCAGTGCATAATGTGGCTTCATCTGTATAAGGAATGTTTTTATTTATAAACCTTTTATATCTACACCAATTTGCTTTATTGTAGTCAAAATATAACGTTTCTGCCTTTACTGTATTTGTATTGACTTCACAGATGACTGGTAAATGATCAGAGCATAAATCATTTATGGTTTTAATGGAACAAACATTTTGAGATACATTGGATAGAAAAATATCTAGGTTAGATGGACGCCGTCTTGCATCAGCTGGAATATGTGAATTACTTCGCGAAAAAAGTACTTGTAAGTTGCGATGCTGTAGTTTATCGTATAATAAATTCCCCCATGAATTGTTTCTTGCACAACCCCAATATGAGTGTCTGCAATTAAAATCTCCTCCTAAGATAAATTTACAGGAGGGGTCAGCTAACTTACGTAAGTCTGACGAAAAATGTTTCCTCAATTCTGCATTTGAACTTCCTCCAGGGAAATAACAGGAGTAAATGTACAAATACTCATTCCCTGTAAATATTTTTATTCCAACATTTTCAATACTGAGTGTATTTAATTGAGGTATTTGTTGATGTTGGATATTTTTTTTGATGAGAATAGCTACTCCGCCTCCTCTGCTACCTTCTCGATCTTTTCTGTAGACGTAATATCTTGTATTTTTTAATGAATAATTAATATTTAACCATGTCTCATTTAAGAGACAGACATCAATATTATGTTTATGCATAAAAATTAATAATTCTTCTTTTTTATTTCGGATACCTCTGGCGTTCCAAGTCATTATTTTCAGATTTGTACTGTTCAATATAAGAATTTAATTGCTAATGTTGTGATGACTTCAAATTGGTCAGCTTTGGATTTGCAATTTGATAATCTTGAAATTAGTTCTATAGTGAGGTTCTTCATTTCATCTATTGAAAATAAATCTTTATTAGGACAATTATTATTTTGGGGAATAGTCCACCTAGACACAGACGGAATTTCAGGAAGGTTGAGAGCATTTGGGAATTCTTTGTTGAAATTTGAATTGTTATTAAATTGTGGCATAGGTCTTTTGCTACTTCGAGTTTCATAACGTTTTCTAATTTCAATATATTTAGAACGACTTGGGCAATCCGGTGATGTCGATTTATGATTTCCATTGCAATTTGCACATTTTAAAATTGTTGATTTGCATTCACTACTACTATGATTTCCAGCACAGTTACTGCAAAACGTTTTAACTTTACAACGATTTGATCCGTGTCCTAGCATTTGACAATTATAGCATTGGGTAAGTCTTCCTTTATTAGGTTTCTGGTATTCCCATCGGATTTTAATACGATTTATTGAATCATGGTTTTGACGAAGTTCCTTAAGTGTTATTGTTTTCCGTTGGAAGTAAACAACATAAATTATGTGTTCTAGGGGTCCCTCCTTCGCCTTTCTAACCACCAGTTTAACATCGGTACATTTTAAACCCATTTCAATTAAATATTTTTTAACTATGTTTGGATCCATTTTATCATAGTTTAATAAAATCACCTTATAAGGTTTTTCATTTTTAGGAACATACGAAAAATATTCCAAATTAAAATTATTATCGAGTGCATGACACATCGAATTCATATCTTCTTTCCTATTTAGAAATAATTTAATTCCTATAGATATTTTTCGAATAGAATACGAAGATATGTTTAATATTCTGCACATTTCATGCACTTGTTCAGTTTTGCATTTCAGAATAGTTATCGGTGGTATTTTATCACTGCTCTGATTATCGATAACAGTATCTTCGATGTCTTCTTCTACATCATCAGGATCCACAACTTGAAGAGGGAGAAAATAATTTTGATTTCCAGCTCCCTGAGAGCCAATTGTTTTTGGTTTTTTATTCATAGTTAGATGCCTTGAAGAGGCAACAACATCTTCGTCGCACGGTCTCTTTATTTTGTTAAATTTATTTGTTGTTTTGAATAACAGTACTGCTTTTTTTTATTTTTATTTTTCTTTTGCGTTTGTCTTTTCTATTATGCGGAGAATTCACGTCAGAACGATACGGTGTATACTATACGACTGACGAAAATTGTTAATGTTCGTAGATATAAAGTTTTCTGAGCAAAAATCGGATAAAAATGGAAAAAGACGATGAAAATATACAAATATCGATCTTGTTTTTGAAGACCCTATTTGAAATATTTTGAGCGACATTTTAGAATAGAATATTTGTATGTCAAAAAATCTCGTCTAGTAGTACTTAGTCAACGGTTCAAAAAAATAAGGACGTTTTGGGACTTCTATTGTTTATTATATGTGCTAACAATTAACCTTTCTACACTGATTCCGCAGAATGTAAAACATGTTTGTTGATGACAAATTCTTGCTATTTAGTGATCAGCCATACTTTCATGAAATGTGTCAAAACAACATAAACAGCTGTCTTCGGAGTGTAGTAGGATGGACGTTTAATAACTATTGTTATAAATTCAGCTTAGAACAAAGCGGTACTATTTCCTCCCTCTAATCGAGCTTGCTCTCAATTCAATATATTAATTCAAAATTATAGAATCCAAATCCTAGACAGGCTTAAATGTCTACGTGTAATTATAGATGTTTTTGTTCGATTCATTCCGGTTCTGGTATAGCTCGCATTTGGAATATATTGACTGTAGAGCTACGATTGTTTTCACATTCAAATAACCTGTTCAAGCTGAAACTGATTGAATTGTATAATCCGTAAAACAGAAATATTCAAATCATGTATTATTGTTACTGGCTATTATTGTTACATGAATTTATTCTATTTTAATGGTTGGGAGCCATAACTAAACCTACACTACATTCATATTAGTTTTTATATTTGCATAAAATTACTTAGATGTTTTTATTATAATTTATTGTTTTTGGCCTTAAAAGCCAAAAATAAATGTCTGTCATCTCAAAAATAACCTGTAATAGCCGAAAACAAATTATTCATAAACTGTAGGATCGTCAGCAAAAAAGCCAATACGTCGTACGTCAAAAGTTTGACATGTGGAGAATTTATCCTTCTGATTTTTTAAGAGCTATCCCCAAGAGGAATTTTCCACACCTAGATCATGTGGTCGATTTTGTGACATAGTGTAATTAAAAAAACTTCTTACGATACAATGATTCGGAATAGCTTGGAATGAAGTTTATAGCAACTTTATTGATATGAACTACTATGAACTACGACGACCATAATCACAATTAATTTATACATTACATATAAGGATACAATAAGGCTACGATGAACAGACATGTAACAAACATTTTTCTTAGGTTTATCCATGCGCTTTCAAGTTATTTCAAAATCTACAATTCTCAGGACGCACTGCTGCCTTCCTCGGGCATTTTTGGATATCCAATATGTTGTGATCCTTCGGCTCTCTTCTCAAAATAACTCTTTTATTGATATTAACATTACAATTAGTTTTCAAAAAATAAAAACAATATAAAAAATGCTACTAATGTAGTTTAAAATATTTAGGTTACGCAATTTGTACAATATGTTGTTTGCAATATTCCCACATGAATAGAGCACCGGTTACGTGTACGTTCAATGAACGTACTTGTCCGAATTGTGGTATTTCCACAGCATGATCTAAAAGTCCCAACAATGTAGGCGGTATTCCATCTTTTTCATGTCTGAAAGAAAAATAAAAAAATAATAAAAATCATTGAACTTTTTAGAATAGAATATTCGTTATGGAAAATGGCGCAGAAATTGAAAACAATCTATAACACAGAATACTGTTGATTTTGAAGTATAGATGGTGCAGATGTAATAGCGAGTACAGATAGATAAATTTGAATTTATATAGCAAAGACTCACACCGTGTATATTATAACAGATGCTTTATAGTACATTATAACATATGCTGTACCTGCACTATTTCAGATAATATTTTATTTGTTATACTAACCATCAAGCTGTTATATATTTGGATTCACGTCTTTGCTAATTAACTTCACTTTTATCTTACGCTCATTAACTGTTTTCATTTTTTGGAACAGCGACATCAAATATCTAACTGTATAACATCTTAACGAGGTTATTATAGATAATCTCGACTTTCTGAGGAAATGTTATTAATTTCATGTTGTTGATCTTACCCCAATAGTAAAATACACTTCTCAGGAAATTGGAATTTCACAAAATTTTCGCTATTCGACGTTTGTTCGGCACCTACAACAGCAAAGCCTTCCTTCTGCTTTTCAATGATAAACTCCCTTAAATCATTTGCTTTGACTTCAACGATGTTAAGAGATTTTTCTGCTGTCATACTGTAAAAATACCGAAATATTAATACATACGCGTTTACATTACAAATTTGTCAATTAAATTACCTTAGATTTTTAAAATCACTCTTTTCAATATCTTTCTTCGAGTCCATAATAAGATTATGAATACCCAAAACTTCACAGGTACGTGCAATTCCGCCTAAATTTGGCAATTTGTCAATGAGACTTGCAATAACATACATCTGTAATTTCAAATTATTATGTTTCGTACTTAAAAAAATTATAAATTTTTTTTTTTACCTGGCAATGATTTTGTTTCGGGGGATACACCAATAGATTACTGTGTTCTAAAATGTCATTGGAAGGATTCATTTTTCGTTGAACTTGATTACTGCTGGTTATTTCGTTCTCTAAATTCTCGTCCATGTTTCGAACGACCTTTTTTGAAAATGCGTTCTTACAGCTTAAAAGCGTTACATCGAAATCATCTTGCCAACGATAATAGTCAAAAGTTCGAACAATTTCATCATATGGAGAATTAGTTACATATAAAACGATATCCCACATCTTAGAGGGATCTTCGAATTTATACAAGTAAAGGCGTAAGTCATTGCAGTGCTCTTCTAATTTTCCTCGCGTTGCTACCTCTATTGATTGCAAGAGTTGAGACCCATACGTTAACCTGTATAATACAATAAGTAATATTAAATGTAATATAAATAAAATTAAGGTTCGCCACACATACTCGTGGAATCCTTTTTCATTTAAAAGTTTCGTTAATATCAATTGGGCAAACAGTCGTGTATGAAAATTGGCACCCATAGTTAAGGCCATCAAATTCATAATGATTGTGTTCTTGTCATCATAGCTTAAGTCCGTCGTTCGCCACATGCAAAATGTAAATAGTGATGATAAAATGGACACCTGTTGGCTTGATGTTAAGCTGTGTGCCTGTAATCAAATGAAAGTTAATATCGCATTTTTGTTGTACAGCGTCGAGTCGCGTTACCTCTGTTAATTTTTTAAGAAATACATCCTTGCGAATTTCCCGGGTTCCCACAATGTATTCATAGAAATAACTTATATTTAGCTGATTATTTTCGTCCAAAAGAATTGACCACAACTGATCTAGCAAACTATCGCTGATACATTCACATTTCATAATGGTCTTGGCAAATCCCAGAGCGATTCTCATTTTTAAACGGTGTTCAGTAGAATTTGCAAAATATCGTGATTTCTTTTTGGAAATCGCCTTGTGGTGTTCTACCAAGTGTAAAAGGTAGTTGGCATCGCCAAACGAGGATAATTGATGTAACCAGAGATTTCTCATTATATTGTTGGGTCTTCCAAAATATCTCTCTCGGTAGGATTCTTCAATTCTACGATAGATTTGGTATTTTTGAACATTATTTTATTTACAGCCAAAATTGTCTGAATTTGGAGTATCAGTTTGATATACGAAACATACCTGGAGTCGCCCTTCTTAACATCATCACAGCCATAATTCCACATCCCAAACTTAGGATTGTACAGCAGGTTGAGCTGACAAGTGTATAATAGAGTAGGACGCTTATCAAGAAAGTACATCACATATTCTTCACACAATTTATTCTTCTCCAAATATTTATGTACCTTCAATTCTGACCTTAAAATATAGAAATAAAGTATATGTATGATATCAATCGAATCAATTGAAAATTCAAACTTACGCGTAGTCTATTTCTTTAAATGCTGCCATTTGATCAACTAAACTAGTTATGACCCAATGGCTTAATATTTTCTTAGTTGCATCCAGGAGAGAACAAATGCTTTGAATTATTTTCTCTGTTAGCTCATGATTGAAAATAATTCTGAACGTATCTTCGTTTACATCGTCAAAAGTCTTTAAGTTATGGACATAAAATGCTATTGCCGAAAGAAGTTGTTGATCATATTCGTTTCTATCGCTTGTATCGCGGCAGTACATGTATTCCTCGATCTTTATGTTATATAACTTGGAGAATTCTTGTAATTTGTTCATACTGCAAAAGTTAAAATGGAATGGTAAGTATTTTAGCCAACCATGCAGCGCAACAGGCAGTTTGTTGAAAAATGCCACGAAGTCATCATAATTTGTGTACTCAATATTTGAGACTAGTATTTCATAGAAACGTCCCATAAACAAATTAGCAGTTTCGTTGTCCTCCAAAGTATTCACTTTGGAATATAAATTTTTAAAAACGCCATAGTGATCGGTGGCGTTGCAAAGAGTTTCGACATAATTCACGTACTCCCTTAATGTCATGTCCTCTATAATTTTCTCAAAAATCTTATTTGCCATCAACAATGTCGTTTGTCGTATCTGATAATCTTGTAGGGCACGTACTCTAGAGGCAATTTTTATAACATGATCATAAGTTACAACTTTGGGGGTAATGTTTGTGTTTTCCGCTAAAATTGTCAATATGTTGTGCATGGGTACGGATTTCCAATTTATGTCACCAATTACTTCAAAGAGGCTGGTTAAATCTCCTTGAAAAAATTTCATAAAATATTCCCGGCTTATAAAATAACCTTCACAGTTATACAGCATATTGGAATTACAAGCATCCAGAAGTTGTCTCAACACTTCAACATTCAGTTCGCAACAGGTAAAGGCATTTAAAAAGTACTCGATAGACCATCGTATAACCAAACTATTTTTATGGGTTAGAATTCTGACAAACAATATATCCATCCATGATGATGGTACTACTTTGCTGCTAACTAAATCGCCCAAATTATCCAGGGATGGCAATATCAAATGCGACTGATTCTCTTCTAAATTTTCTAATATGGTTACGTACGTTACCCAGAATCGTTCAATTTTCTGCCGGTGTTCCGAAGAAATTAATGCATTATTTTCATTTTGTGATACCATCAAAAGCGAATTGATTATTTTCTTCAGTAAATAGTAGCCACATTTACGATCTTCTCTTTGGCTAGACTCTAATAGGGACTGTGTTGTAGATACCACGACGGGATCGCAATATAAATCCGGTCGAATGCTACAAAAATCATCAAATAGTTGCATTAGTATATCGACATGAATTTTTCTCTGAACGGTGATGGTTTTTAAACATTCCAGTAGATTTGTTAAAATGGTTTTTATTAAATCGGTATTATCTGCGGAGGCCTTAATATATAATCGAATGCATGCTATAATATTGGCAACCAATTTTCTGTCAGCTACTCTTGGCAAATGGTTTGCTAACATTGCGAAGACCTGCAAAATGAAGAGAAAGTGGCTTTTTAGATTTTATTTCTATTTACAAATTTTCAAAATTAAACCTAATAAGTTCACAAATGAAAAACTATTCCATATATTTCCCTTAATTTTACAAGCAAAATGGGAGGGAGCTAATTTATTTCGTTTTATTATTACATTCATATTTTACCGATATCGATGAGATGTGTCTATGTTGAACAAGGTGATTATATGTGGGCTTGGGAGGAAAACATCGAACTCGCTTTACATATCCTAAACATATTTTCCTACGGACGAATTTCAGATAAGTAAAATTCAAAATACCCCCACATCCTGTAGCGAATTTTTGAAAACACTCGTATAGGAAATATTCCTAGTTCATACATACCTTGGAATTAATTGTAATTTCTTTACTATCACGTATATTTAATGAATATAGAACCTGATGAATTATCTGTATCACTATCATCAAGTCTTGTTCCGTTTCCTTATGATCTTCATAGAAAGCATCAAGTCTGAGGCCAACATCACAATTGATATAGTCTTGGCGAACATAGCGGCAAAGATTGAAGTGTATAAAATGCAATATTGTCTTTAGATTTGAAATGTTTCGATATGATTCGAAGTTCTTTTCCAGCTTTTCGAAGAGACCATCGATGGGAACAGACATTGGAAGTGACAATCCATTCATATTTAAATCCGCATCCAGACACTTGCTTTCACTATTTGTTGAATTATTTGATATTTCAGTAGCGCTCATCCTGTTTCCAAAAACCTGCACGTTTCAAATCGTTAATTCACAATGGCCAACAATCCACGATGGTACGGCAGTTTATTACGAATAGAGATCAAAATAAAAAAAGCAAAGGAATTGTTTAGAATGAGACAAACCAGAAATAGAAATCGATTACTGCTAATCGATTTTCAAATGAAAATGAAATATAACAGCCTTATGCCATGTTCTGACGGGCATTCGAAGAACGTAGTCCGCACTCAGAATTAAGGGCTAAGCAGAATGCTCGCGTTGAGCCATCCGTCGCGTTATATGTTATCGAAAATACAAAAACCACAAGGATAACATATAACGCGACGGATGGCTCAACGCGAGCATTCTGCTTAGCCCTTTACGTACATGAATTAATTTGTTGTTTCTCCTTTTACACTGAAATCTCAACTTATTTGTGTGTATTACATATGAATTTAAATAAAAAAAAACTATTCTCTTCATTTTTTTATTCTGAATATAGTAAGAACTCATATCTAAATACCTTTCATTCATGTTTTCCATTTTTTCTGAAAATGTTGTTGTTTTTAATACATTTTTATATTCTCTCAAATCAAATGTCACATATAACATTTTGGAGAATTTTTTGAGTTTCCCCACATTTGTTTCTTGTTTTGTACGCTAATTAGAACCAAGGGAAAAGAAATGCATATTGCATTATGTAGAAAACAAAATTTACATTCTGCTGCATACATATATAAAATCTATACAATTTATTACTTTTCATTCATCATTTTCAATTTTTCTAAAAAAGTTTAAAAATTGTATAAATATTTTCATGCTGTCAAAATTAATTTATTTTCGATAAATACTCTCAATTGTAAGGGATGGGACAAATTTCTTGGTTATTCAGAGAGTGATTCGACTTGAACAACGTACAAAAGTCGGTGTTCGCTCAGACAATTTTATATGGGGAACTAAGTAATTACTTCATAATTAAGGGCCGAACAACGAATGAGAGAGCGAACGCCGCTCGTCTGTACATTGCATTACCTAAAATTCAACTAGCTCGTTCGACGTTTTTCACCACAAAAGTAGAACACATATATTTATATGAATGTTACCGAAATACGTCGAACGTACAAAATTTAAAGTTGAACAATTTCAACTATGACAGAACTTATTTTTCATTTTTTTCTTTTGTTGAAAACAAAAACAAAACATTCTGGAAATTGCGGTTTGTATTATTTGCTTGAAGATATGGATTCGACGTATTTGGGTAATACGCCGTACACAACATTTTGCCATGGTGGGGAAGTTGAATATTTTTGTACGCCCCGTCGGATTTTAGGTAACGTTGTAACAGTAGGTATGTTCGAGAACTAATTTGTGACTTTTATCAATTTTGGCCTGTTCCCGTACTACAAGAATCTAAAATTTTGTTATCCTAGTAAAAATTTCACATACTTGCCGGTTTTGGAACAAACCAATTATGTAAACACTAGTAATACTTTCCAAATGTATGTCGAATCTAATTCAATGCGTTGCGTGCTAAAATTCTCATCTTTATAGAGCTTGTTGAATAGAAAACGGCGAAAGAGAAAAAATCATTTTTTTATTTGTCGTATAGAAACACATTTTTTCAATACGTTTCTTTGATAAGATATTTTAAATTTGTATGCTGTTCTGGTTGGTATTTCGCAATTAAAAAGTTGATAGCAAAATAATACTAAAGGCATAAGCATAACAATGAATACGTTGAGCCTTCGCGTTAATTGTCGAAAATACAACAACTCCAAGGGAACGGTAACACCAACGCTTGATATGCGTTGCACATCGGATTTAAATATATTTTAACTTTTTCGCGCGTAACACTATCATTGTGTGGAGCCCTTAATACATGAATTCGCATCCTGTTAGTCATATGTTCTTTTCCAGAACTTTTTTCATAGTAAAACCACTTAAAGGGAAAAATGTCAAAGTCGCTCTCAGAGTTAAAAATCATACAAAATGTTCTGGAATGGAAAACCTGTTTACCATTTTTACTCGGTCAACTTCCTCGAGTAAAAAGTTTACAAATAGAAACCCATCTTGAATTTGACTAAACAATTTACTAGTTTTGTGGGTACAAGAACGGGTTTCAAGTAAAAAGTTGGAAAACTTGTTAAATTAGTAGAATATTTTAGGTTCTAGAATGGGACGCTTATTACACATACATACATTCATTAAACGAAAATTTGTTATCATTGTATATTCTTGAAGGTACTGGAACAGGGCAATTATTTTCTCATATTCTTCCTCAGTTCGAAGGGGTATTAAATAAGGTTTACGCATCAGATACAACAACAAATTTTTTGTAATAGAAATTAATTTGTCATGTTGACAATTAGTTTATGACAAAAATAAACAAAAACAATTATTCATTTCATTTTATTCATTTTTGTCAATAACACTTCTTGAATTCTGAGGAATAATTTGATCTGTTCCCCTACTACACGAATCTACTAGATTTTACTATTTTCTTCACTATCATAAAGGAAAAATCGCTATCGAAGTAAAAAGGAAACATACCAAAAGGGAAAGCGAAAACAATTTCGATAAATAAGGGATTCTTTCAGATCTATAAAAGCGAATTTACATATAACATTTAATCATGATTAAAGGCTGAATCAGGGTTTATTTTCTTAATCAGGCTAAATTTACCATGATTTACCACACAAATTTAAATCATCGTGCAGCAGGATTTATTTTAAATCATGATCGAAATCATGATACTACTGAGATGCAACGCGGGTTTTGTACGAAAAAATACAACTCTCTCACAATGTACCAAAATTTGCAACTGTTTTTACATGCCGTTTGTTTTTAAATTTAACGGCTGACAAATACGAAAATGACAGATCAAAGGAAAATAAAAATTAATTATAGAATTTTTGTGTTTTTAGGCGTTTTTTTACTTTCCAAACGATCACATTATTGCAAAAACATTTCCATTGTGGTAATTCTTCTATTCTTTTTCAAATTGCAAACAAATATTTTTGGCGCAAATTAATAATATTGTATGTATACTAACAAACATCAGCTGATCGGCATTTAGATCATGATTAAGGGTATGTGTAAACAATTAGGGTGTATTTCTGGATTTCGTTAATCGAGTCGATTTAAAATCGTATATGTAAATGTACTTTAACACTTGGTCGGTTCTCGTACTGCAACTTTTTACTACGATAGCAAATTTTCCTTTATTGGTCTGTTCCCGTACTGCAAGAATCTACTAGACTTTACTATTTTCTTCGATAACATAAAGGAAAATTAGTTATCGTAGTAAAAAGTAGTAGATTCTTGCAGTACGGGAACAGACCATATGATATCGAAAAAATAGTAAAAATAGTAGATTCTTGCAATACGGGAACAGACCAAGTATTTTATTGTGATTAATTACTGATGATGTTACCTTTGATGTGTTCCCGTACTGCAATAATCCACAAATTTTTACTATTTTCTTCGATATCATAAAGAAAAAATTGCTATCTTGTAAAAAAATTGCAGATTCTTGTAGTACGAGAACAATCCACTTATTAAATCTGTCTTGCTTTCAACTGTTGTTGATAAATTGTCGTGTCGCCGACACACTTAACCGATAAGCTCCCATACCCTTATCGATATTTTTGTTTTTTGTGGAATTTTATCGTTTTTTTATACATTACTGATATCGACACTTTTGTCTGCCCTATCGTTAATCTACAACAGCAATTCACCGAAGGAAAATTTCTTTTCATTATAAATTGAAATTGTAGTTTTTATTGTAGGCGAAAAAATTATAAAAAATAAAAAATTGAAGTGAATAATACTAAAAAAGATCCCCAGTAACAGTTTGAAAATAAGGAGTGCAGCTTTGTTGGTGTTTGCAGAATGAAACAATGACGTAAAACCAGAAAGAGTCATGAAGAAGAAGCATTTGTAAAAAAATTAGCAAAATAAATAGAGAAACCCTAGAGTTTCGTTAATCAATGCATTCTTATAGCAGGAAAAACAGTGGAAAATCTCAGATTTAAACTAAATAAGGAAAACCAAACACTCCCAAGGAGATGAGCAAACCAAGCACCGACTCCGACAGTTCGGAGGAGTTTTTCGATGCAGAGGATTCGACACCTAATCGATTGTCAACATTAAGGTAAAGTAGCTTGTGACAAAAATATACAATCACTGTGCGACAACACACATCCACCCATTCATGCCTGAGTGATTTAGCAAGTGTTTGAATGTGTGTTCATTTATTTAATTACATACAAATGTACTATGTACGCATTCCAAACGTATGTGACTTAGCTGACCGACAACGAGATTGACCACAGATGTAATTGCACGTCACGGAGAAGAAAAAAAAAAACAAAACAAAACAAAAACAGCAACAATATTCACTTATGTATATCATGTTTTTTATTTCAGTCGCAAATCTATTATTGACACGACACAAACTCAAGAGTTCATATATCCTGATCCAGCAGTTAGAGTGCAAGCCTCTTCAGACAGCGATGCCACACCCATTGGCGCAGTTACTCCAGCTACCAGCAGTCCCAGCAGTAGTTTGAGTGCTCGCGGTAACAAGCAAGAAGTTTTCGTTGAACCAAAACCAGTGCAGGCCACTGTAAGTAATTCAATATATTAAATAAAACATTCTTCAATTGTAGACATATAGGTAGATGTGTATATGAACATCTATGGTTAGTAAATTAGCACAACATTTATTGTTTTCTGTAACCTTGTCAATTTTGTTCTTATTGTATAATAAGAATTTGAGTGGAACACTTTATTGTTGAATCTTTTTCTAAACTCTTATTTTAAAAAATCTGGGTTAAAATATTAACATATCTCTTCTTCGAATTATATTTTGTGAAAGGCTTTATATTTCCAACAGTTTTCGGCGATATGTATGCCTATGATGGCGCTATCACCATCTAATGCGTTAATATTCACGATTTAAAGGCTAAACTAAATAAACTAATGTTAAAGATACGGAAACTTAATTATGCTGTTCCAGTCTAAAATTTCTTCTTTAGCGACACACATGCAACCTATTTGTATTTAACTCTCGTGTTATCATAATTATCATTTAGTAATGGCGGGGAGCCATCATTGCGAAACATCCGTCGTGGACCTCTCGTTGATGAAAAATAAATTGAATTAAATTGAAAACAGGGTAGTGCTCGAAACCATAATCGGCTGTTGTTTAGGACAGTGAGAGACAACTTAGGAATCAAAAATATACCCTTTAGGCACACCTAAGACCTGATATAGAGATATTTTCTATGTCCCTAGATAAATGTACTGAAATACTGATGTATGTTCGTCCAATTCAATGTAATTTCTAATTAACTAAATTTTTCCTTATGATTGTTTTTATGATAATAAATTTCCCCTCATTCATTTATGCATTTTGTACAAATCTTCTAATCTTCTCTATTTATACACATTGATTATTTATTTGATTGTTTTATTATTTTTTTTTTCATGTACACCATTCACCTTGTGATTGTCTTCAATTTGCCCATCGATATTTCCAAAATTTTGTATTAAACCACAAACATCTGAATTGTCCTAACAGTATGGTAGACAGCGTTTTGATGAGTTGCGTCAGTGCATGCAAAACGACGAAGATGATAATCCGGGAAATACATTAACACCTGATTCTCAGGTACCTATATAATCGGGTCGAACGAAAATTTTAATGTATCTTTAATTTTCTTCTTTGTTTCGTTTGTTGCCATTTAATTTTTCTTTTTCTTCTGAATCTACGAATTGGAAAAATAGAATAGTTCAACAGATGGGGTTTTTGCCAATCGGCCGACACACCCCTTTAAGGTGGTCGAAAAAGATGCCATGAGTGTACAGAGCATGACATCGTTGGGGCGAGTTGGTCGAATTTTGGCCGGGAGCATTGACCCGTCATCAATGAGCATTGACCGTGAATATTTTGCCAATACAAGCAGTAGCCAGCAACAGCAGCAGCTTCAACAGCAAATTGCGCAACAACAGCAGCGGTTACAACAACATCAATTGGCAAATAGTGGTTCGTCGTCAACCATTAATAGCATAAAATCGGCGAGCGTACCGCCTGGCCACACAGAAGCTAGTAGCAGTCGTGCATCTGCTCCGCCGGGTGCAACTGCTTCGATGTCTGAAAGTGTAACATCAACCTTTGATAAACCGGTGACACTTCAAGAGCCCGATGTCATTGCTAGCACTAAATTGGCCCATTCTAAAACTACCGATTCAATAACGTCAAGTGGCCCCATAGCTCCACCGAGACGCAAAAAGAAATCGAAGAAGGGGTCTACGAGTTCATCGGAACATTTTAATATGAATGATGGTATGCGACTGCAAGCACCAGATACCGATACCGACAGTGATACTCGTTCTGTGAAGAGCGTCCGAGATGTTCAGCAGCGACTGCGAGATGATTTGGTGAAGGAAATCGAAAAGAGTTGGAATGAGACAAGTTCCTTGCAGAATAGTGTGTCCGGAGGAAGTTGCAGTGGAGCTACTGGCGCAATATGTGCTGGTACTGGTAGCGGCGGTAGTGGCAGTGGTATAACTACGTCAGCTACAATGCCCATGACGTTAGGTGGTCTTAGTGCCTTAGGCGGTAATGTTTCCTCGGCCTGTTCGTCCGGTAATGTGTCCAGCAATACCGTTGTATCTGCATCAGGCACATCTCTAAGTCAAATATCGACATGTAATGCACGCCCCGTTACAACAGCAGCCATAGGTGGTTCTATAAACCGCATTTCGCATTCGTTGGGAAACAGTTCCACATCAGTTTACTCCAAGCCTAGTCCGTCTAATTCTGCAAAAAGTAATTCAGCCCCGGGACGAGTAAGGTCAGTATTGTTGAATTAATAAAAAATGCTTTAATTTTTTCGTAATTACTAAATATTCAATTCTCTGCAGTTCCATCGATCCATCACAAAGTTTAAATCTCTATAAAGCTACCCAAGGTGGCTATGTGGTCAAACCGCGAGATGAACAATCCAATAAGGCTGAAGGTCCAACACAAGAAGAAATTGAACGTATTGAACGTATATTTAATGATAATACTCCTAGACCCAAATTGGGTACGGGTTCCAATAGTTTAGGAAGTGCAACAAGGTGAGTTTATTAAAAAAAATTTAGTATAATCACCTTATTACGGATGGCGTAGTCGTGTTGAAAATTTGGCACTGTCGCTTTTATACGACAAATCGGTATTAAGAAAAGCGTTACAATACGCCAAATCTGTCGTGAACGATTTTTTTGACGACAGCATACAAAAATATATAAAAATGTGTTAAAATTGCATTTTAAAAATATTTACTGATTAACTGTTACATTCATCTTTATTTTATTGCATTACACTATATTCATAAGAATTACAATTACCACAAAAATTAATTAGAAAACAAACAAAATTACATAGTTTTTCCAATACAATATAAAAAGGGTTTTAAAAGAACAATTTTTTGATTTGGTTTTGTAACAGAGTAAAAGAAAAATCTATTACAATATTTGGCGTTGTCGAAAATTTTACATAATACCGACCAAAAACGACTACGACAACGCAATGGACTACGCCTACGAGAGCTGCCGTACAACGACTACGCCTACCGAAATAAGGGTGAATATTTCATATAGAAATTACCAACATGATTAAATATATATAATATGTTGTTGTTATACGTTGAGTTGTTTTCCAAAATGAGATATCAAAATTAAATGAAACACATCCTCAATATACTACTTAAGGATCTCTCAATAAGACAAAAAAGAAATACAATGAATAAATTAAAAAAAAAAAAAACAATTCGTCACGCATCAATTAAGAAATGTCAGAAGGGTTGCAATCCCATCATTTTCTTTTTTATTCGTGTGAAGGTAATTCCTATCCTTCAAGCATTAAAGCACGCATTTCTGGGTTGCATATTTCGAAATATGTTATGATAGTGTTACTCGCTGAATTCAATGGTAACAGGGCGGGTATATGACATAATTTTCAAACATTATTACCATTTATAAATAGTAGTTTATAGATTAAACAGAAACTAATTTTATTTCTATCAATACCAATTTGGTGCATCGAAAATCCTGATTCGTAGGAAACACTTTTCAATGTGATACTTCTTCACCAATTTAGAATTACAAAATTTGCATATTAGACGGCATTTCCAATGGTATACATGTTCTCATAATAACATTTTTTTTATTTTCTGTTCGCTGTACATCTTCGGAGATTGAGTTAATCAACAATTAGTCATGAAAGTAACAACAACATTCTATTTTATTTTGAAATAAATGAACTTTAGCAGCAAATACAAATATGTATTATTTTGTTTGTTTACAGCAATCTATTCGATATATTCATTGTTTATAGATTGACAACCTTAGTAAATAAGCCATGGTGTTTACGAATCAAGTTGGTGTTGTCTTTATTTTATTTATAATTTTAATTATATTTACATTAGAGCTAAATTTGTTGTTTGGTTAATTTCAATCATTATTAATTTATTTGAATTGACTTTATATAAAAAAATAATTTCTTTATTTATGACTCAGTTCTCATTATAGTTCGGTTGAGTGTTTATAAAAAATGGGGGATGCCAAATAAATTTATTTCAAAGGACTGAGTATAACAAAGCCTAATTTGATTATTCAAATCTGTATCGCTATAAATAACAATTTTACTTCACGTTATTAAGAACGGGCTTAATAAGCACCTATCCAATATGTTTAATGAACCGCGAAACATAATGATGCGTCTGGCCGGTTAGTATAAAATACTTGGCTTTATTCTATAAAAATATTATATGTGAATTTCATGGTCCACGATGCTTTTCGTTTATAGACTTTTTGGTGGAGTTTCATTTCATACATCTGAAAGATTTGAAAACGAACACCAGGCAATATTTATTTATTTTTAACAATAAATCTTTTAGTTGTGGAAGTTACATGAGAACTGAGTTATAACTAAAAGAAGATTAATTATTTAAAAAAAAAACTAAAGTTCATTTAGCTAAAGTAGTCAATCATCCTCCTATACTATAAATTTCATTTTTATGGAATCTGAAATTTCATATATAATAAAAATGAACTCTTCACTACATATTATGTCATTATGCACCCCAAATGAAAATACAGATGCAATGCTTTGTATGTTGATATTTTGTCTAAAACAATTTCGATAACCATTACGAACTTGCGGGTTTATTGCAGATACCCTTCCCTGGTATACCGATCCAGTGGCGATAAGGAACGACGAAAATCTGCTGGCGATGAAGACGTTCTAAAACAGATGAATATCGATGTTCGCATACGAACTAATTCGGGTAAGCAATTATCAGATATTGAGATACTTGAACAAGTGCCAGTGACGAATCTAGAGACGGGTGTTACAATACCATTGTCTGAAGTGAAACCACCACCAGTACCAGAAGGATGGAATCCCTTGTCTTTGCATATTCTCAAGCTGACATCACATTTGGAAGTGACACAAAAGGAATCGGATGATGAGAGTGTCATTGGCATACCGCCGAGCAGTGAAGGCCAGCCACAGGAGGAAGATGAAGGTGAGACCGAAGATGGTAGTCGTTTGAAAAAGAAAACAGCCAAAATTAAACGATTTTTCGGTTCAACTATGCGTAAAACTGTTGATAAGGCAAAATCACTCGCCTCGGAAGTGTCGCATGCACGACACAAAGAAGACGTGGCTGATATTGTGGATGTAATGAATCCGGAGCAGAATATTAAAATTAAAGCATCGTCAACAAATAAAGGACCCTATGAATTTACAAAATTACAACATGTACAGGTATGTTTGAAATAATTTTTGGGAATTATTTATGTTTAATTTTAAAACATGTGTCTTGCCCTTTGCAATTGATAAAATATTTACCTGTAGGAAAAACCCTTATTTTTGGTTAATTATTTCCCTGCAAATTAATAAATCTGAATAAAAAAAAAATTCAATGAAACAAAACATATTTCCCTATTAATAAATCTAAAAAAAAAAAATTCAAGAAACAAAACCATATAAACATTTTATTTATTTTAGGACTTATCAGGCGAACATACTGGCGCTGTTTGGTGTATGAAATTCAGTTCGTGTGGACGTTTATTAGCAACAGCTGGCCAAGATAAAGTTCTGCGCATTTGGGTCCTCAAAGATGCCTATCCTTTCTTCCAAGTAAATATAACAAAAAAATAAGCGCTTAGCATTCTTATTACAGTTCATTTGATTTTCTTTAATAAGGATATGCGCACTAAATACAATGCCGATCAGAAATCCTCACCAACACCTTCTCAGGAATCGTTGGTATCTCAACAATCGGCTGAAGATGCCATCGCAATGGCCACTGCTGCCGAGAAATGTACCGGTCCCTTTATGCCGAAATCATTTTGTACCTATAATGGTCATACGTCCGACCTATTGGACGTATCGTGGTCGAAAAATTATTTCATACTCTCCAGTTCGATGGACAAAACAGTCAGACTGTGGCATATATCACGCAAAGAGTGCCTATGTTGTTTCCAACATATTGATTTTGTCACAGCGATTGCATTTCATCCGCGCGATGATCGTTATTTCCTCAGCGGCAGTTTGGATGGTAAATTACGCCTGTGGAATATTCCCGACAAAAAGGTGGCCTTGTGGAACGAAGTCGATGGACAAACTAAACTCATCACAGCCGCTAATTTCTGTCAGAACGGTCAGTTTGCTGTTGTTGGTTCCTATGATGGTCGTTGTATCTTCTACAATACTGACCAATTGAAATATCACACACAAATCCATGTGCGTTCGACGCGTGGTAAGAATCGCATTGGCCGCAAAATAAGTGGCATCGAACCAATGCCGGGTGAAGATAAAATTCTTGTAACGTCGAACGACAGTCGAGTGCGTCTGTACGATTTGAGAGATTTGAATTTGTCATGCAAGTACAAGGGCTATCTGAATGCCTCCTCGCAAATAAAGGCCTCGTTCAGTCATGATGGTAAATATATTATAGCCGGTTCGGAAAATCAATGCATCTATATATGGAAAACCAATCATGATTATTCCAAATTAAGTTCGGTAAGTGAAAAATAAATTCTGTTCAATAAAAAGTGTTTAACAATGGATTTGCAACCTTAGGTACGTCGTGACAGAAGTGATTTCTGGGAAGGTATTAAAGCCCACAATGCCACTGTGACTTGTGCAATATTTGCTCCACATCCTGAAGCCATTATTAAACCAGAACCTGATGAAATTTCCAATGAAAAGGTGATTTTATAGTTAATGTCCTTTCTATTTGTTTCCTTACGACGTGTCTTTCTATTTGTAGCAAACAAACAACCAGCCAGATCCCTTGGTCGAACAACATAAAAAAGGTTGTGGTTATGTTATGATTAGTGCAGATTTCAATGGAGCCATTAAGGTTTTTATTAATAAAACCAAACCGAAACACAGCAGTCTACCCTACACGGCCATAGCAGATTAAAATTGTGATGGAAGAAACGAAATGCGAAGAAATCGTTTAAATTATTAACCATTCTAAATTGTATGCATTCAGATGCATTCGTGTTTATTCTTCTTTGTTAAATATTTTTGTAATTCTTTTAATAATTTCGGAATGTACGTAAAATTACTTGTTTCAAATTATTTAAGTAAATTTAAAGATAAATGAACGAACCGGTTTAACAATAACAATAACTATATAACTTACTAACCGAATTTATTGACAACTTATATACTCTATATGCGTGTGTATGTTTTCTTCTTCTTTTAATATTTTCTTATGTTCACATTTATGTGTATTTGTATATTGTGTTTGTTTTTTCTATTTGCTTCCAAGTTACTTGTGTTTGGATTGTGATTGGCAAACGCTTATCAATAGAGCCATCATGAGCTAATTTTGCTTTGTCGTTTTTCTTTTACCCACAACATGCTTTTGATGTTGTCTAATTGTAGATATGATTTTTTTTGACTACTATATTGTCTGTCACAGTATTTTTCGATTATTGTGTAAAATATTAATTAGTTAAACATTGTACGAAAATAAAATTAAAACATTTTTAATTTTTAGTAGCACTGTAAATGGTTGATTTTTTTTTTTTTGTTTTGTGGGATTTGGGGAGATATCTTCTGAACGACGTTGAGTCGCAGTGATTTAAGAAGCAAAACTGAGTAACTGCAAGTGTTACTCAATGTTGTGATGGATAAGAAAAGGGTCGTACGAGATGTGGAGGATTATGATTTATATTATGACAGACTTACATCGCTGGAATTGAATGACCCATACATGGAATATATGGGGCAGTAAATTAGTTGACATAAAGTATTCCGTTGTTCTCAAGCCGCATGAAAGAGGGAGTAAACGATTTAAGTAATGCAGACGCACGTCTGACGTCAAGTCAAATGAACAGATAAGTTTTTGGAAATAATTTGAAATGCCCTTACACAGCCCTTCGCGGCCTTGGTTATCGCTCAGTAGAAACACGGGTAATGAGTGGCTGATAAAGCTCTACAGGTTCCAGACCATAGTTGGTTCCCGACTCACATGTTTTTTAATAATATATATCTGCGCATGATTAGTTAAAATATTTTATTTTATTATTTTCTTTTAAATAATACAGTCTTCAAGACATCAAAGTTAAATTTAGAATTACATGATTTCAATAATAAATATTAATACAAAATTGAATTAAATAATAATTACTAAAAACGTACAATCATCACTTGTCTTGTTGTTGTATTAAAATATCACTCGTTTCCAATTCAATTTCTGGTGGTTTCTCCGTTGTGGTTGCATTTGAATATTCATGATTCGGCTCGACCACTTGTATACCACCTGTTCCAATGTCCATACATCCAACAGACCAATTAAATATCGGAAAACTGATAAAGTTGATTGTCATGTTTCCACATGCGTGCATGGTGTTCCATTCATGTTGGCCAACGCTGTGTATTTGTAAACATCCCGTAAGGGCAATTGCCGGAAATATGGGCACACAAAATGGTGGTATTCGGAAGGCAGAAAACGTATTTGTATACAGAATATTATCGTTGAGACGTACATTGGCTCGTATATTCCATGTTTGTGAAAAGACCTTCCAGTCGGCACACACTAAAATAGATGAAAATAATTCTCTAAGAATGTGGGTGAAAGGAGTTGGGGGGAAGAATTTTATGACAATTTGTGTGAAAATTTCGAATACGATTATTTAATTTATTCATCTTTTTAACTCAAATAAAAAACATTAGAAGCCCCGTTTCTAGGCTCAACGATATATTTCCTTCAGTGTATCTGGATGCAGATACATCGAATATAGCTGATAAAGGAATCTCTTGAAGGTGTAAAACTAAAAAAAAATCCTGAGTTGGCGAATATTATAAAAATTTTGAATTTTGCAATCAGTTTTGATATCCATTATCTGGGGATGTGCTATATGCTCCGAAATATATGTAAATATTTATGGATTTTTTTCGGATTTATTAAAAGTAGTGAATAAATTTATGCGCTACTTATCCCATAATATATCCACACTTACATTTTTGATGAATATTAAATCGATTGTTATTAACTTTGGCACAACATTCACACTGCCATTGCGATTTACAGACGCAATTTTCGTGAAAAAATCGGAATCTTTTATCCGCCGACATAACTTCAGTGGTTCTATTGACTTCACAAACCATTTGTTGAAAACTAGCTAAAAATATGATAAAACTTAGGCACTTCTGGTTGAACATCTTGAATGTTGCGATGGCCAAGTGTAACTAAGTGTACACACTGCAATGGCTAAGTGTAAGTAAACCATTTTAATTTTGTCATGTTTTTACTAAATGTTTTGCCAAGTTTTTTTGTCAGGTCCCTCGCCACTATGATTTCATATTGGTTACACTTTGCAACACATAAATATTAAACTCGTTTTTTTATTGTAATAGTCAATAGGAAAGCATATGGAAATAGAGTGGGCCAGAATCTTTATTGAATTTTATATAAACTTATTAATCAGTTTATCGCTTGTAATTTAGTCGGATCGTTATAAAATATGAAATAGAGTTGCATCAAGTGCTTATAATATCGATGTTTGTAAGACCACTAAATATTCCTTTGAGACTGAATAAATTATAAACAAGTTTTGTGGTTACATTTCTACTATAAATAGGTACGATATGTTTAATGTTGCAACTATATTTTTCTTTGAGTGTAATCAATCATGCATTGAATATAAATTTTAAAGATCGACGATTTTATAACTGTCCCATTTTGAATGCATTTGAAAACATAATAGGTATTTTGATTCATGATTGACCTGATAATACACATATCGGTTACAGGTTTTTCTTAAGAAAAAAAATGCATTTTTTAAATGTTTGCTAATGGCCTGAGGAAAATTTTGCGGGTCATAATTCGAAATTTAAAAAAAATGTTTTAAAGAAAATATGCTTAATTTTTAGCATAAATTATATTTGAGTTCGCAATTTTAATAAATCAATGATATCCTACACCTAAGAATCGTACTGTAACCAATAATAAATTACATAGAGGTGTTATACGCATATTTTTAAATATCTTCTATATATAAAAAGAATGGTAGGATAATATCTAATATCTACTGCTGCTAACTCCAAGTTCAGGAAGGCCGACCTGTATTGGTTGAGTCCAGAGAGAAGATGGGGTTAGGTGAGTGGGTTTGGCTGGGCAGTTGAATAGATGTAGCGTGTCATGTGGTCCGTTACCACATGCCGGGCAGACATTGTCGACCTCTCCATCAATTCGTGCCCAATATGAATTGAGGCGGCTACACCATCCAGATCTTAGTTGTGCCAAAACCACTCTGGTTTGTCAAGGTAGTTGCTGCTCTTCTGCAGCTATTAAAGGCGGATGGTCTCCGAGGATGGTATTCACACAATATTCTTGAACTGCTTCCTCAAATGCATCCGCGTGCATACGATTCATTCGAAGGATCTTCGTCTCCTCATGTAAGTGGTCTATTGGAGTCATGAGGAGACACCCTGTTGCAGTCTTCAGGGTGGCATTCTGGCAGGATTGAAGACTGACGTTAGCGGACCACACTGGAGCCGCATAGTTTACTACAGACCGGGCTATTGATGTATAAGTTGTTAACAAGGTTTCCTTGTCAGCTCCCCTAGTGCTGCCGGCTAGCGACTTGAGAACCTTGTTTCTGATCCTGACTTTATCGCAAATAGCTGTGGCATGCGCGGACGACTTGTATAGACTATCGAATATGACCCCTAGAACCAGGGGTAATTAGTGGTCGGAATTGTGGACCCCTCGACCTGCACATCCAAAGATAGTCGCATCTCCGCTGTCCATGTGGTAAACAGTGTGGCCGTTGACTTCGTGGCGGATATTTTCATATTCCTCGACCGGAAGAAGTCTGCGATATCCACGAGATAGTGGTTCAGCCTCTCGCAAATGTCATCCATTTTAGGTCCTGACGCCATAATCGTACAATCATCTGCATATGTTACGATCTTTATGCCGTCCGGTGGGCCTAGAATTTCAGAGAGGTAGAGGTTAAATAGTTCCGGAGATATCACCCGTCCCCCTTCCTGTTTAATTCTACGGGCCTTCGATTTCCTGTCTCTGAATTCCACGTACGACTGGCGTCCACACATATAGTTCACGAGCCAACGTTTCAAACTTGGCTGGAGGGTTGTTTTCTTGACGTCCTCGAACAGCTTGGCGTGACTGACGGTATCAAATGCATTTGATAGGTCCAGCGCCACCATGACTGTCCTGTTACACGGCCTGTTCTGGTTGAGTCCTTCTGCTATGTGCGTGGCTACTGGCGACAAAAGTGAGATCGGCCTGTATGGCTCATCTTTGTTGGCATCCTTGCCCGGCTTCAGTAGCGGGACCACCCTGCCCATTTTCCAGGCATCGGGAACTACTAGGGTGGTAACGACAAGTTGAGGTCTTTCGTAAGATATTCTACTCCGACCCTCCCTCTTTTCAGGGTTCGAGAGCGACTTAACCGTTGCCCACAATTTACTCACTTCGGTACTGATGTTGCAACACTTCAGATGCTCTAGCCACTTTTTCCGCATATGCTCGCCGACTAACCTGTTCACCTCCAACGTCAGTTCTCTGACTCTGGGGTTAGTACGACGAAGCTCATCACGCTCATTCGCTAGTCCCGTTGCCTCTGCTGGGAAGTTTGGTCTTAGTTCGGGTATACGACCAGCAGGTATATAGCGAGCGGCTGGTGCAGTGATGATGTCCCGGAAATTCCTTTCTGCTACCCGAGCATCAGAAGGGGTGGGCAGTTCTCTGAAGCGACGGTTGGTGAAGTTTCTGAACTCCTGCCAATTGGCTTTCCCATGATTAAGGAAAGTACGGCGTTCAGAAGTTATGAAGTCGGGTGGTCTGTTGATGTATATGATAATAGGGAGGTGGTCTGACCCCAATGATATGACGAGTTGCCAAGCCACGTCATTCGTCAGACCCGGAGACACGATGGATATGTC